ATTTTGCTGAGTGGAGGAACAAAGGACCGCAATAAAATTGCACCCCCATTCCCGATCCCAACATGTCCCTAAGGGTCCTCTCCCTCCAGGGAGAAAAAGGGCTTACCCATTCATTGTTGGTAATCTCAGCCAGCCCTACCTCAGAGGCAGGCATTCAAGTGGCTTCTTCCCTCCCCATCAATTGCTGTGTAATTTCCTATTTTAGCCTCTGTTCCAAAGTAGTCCATTGTTGCTCCAAACTTTCCAGTTTTACCCAACTGAAGATTACAAACAAACACAAGAGGTTTTGGTATACAGATCTTATTTGGTTTGTGATTTTTCAGATAATAATGGGAAGGGCAAACAAGTATTACAAGTGTTAAATTAGGAGGCATTGTTTTTTATGGTAAACGGCAATGCATCTTTTTCTTTCAAACCCTAAGCTGTTTCTTTCACATATCTATACACATACAGATGTGGACACACACATGTGATATCTTACCAAAAGTTGGAGACTCCAGATTTATTTAATTCAGTTTAATTTGCAAATGTAGTTCTGCTAAATAAACCAATGCTTTCTTTACCTTGGCAATATGAATTCCCACATTAAAAAAAAAAGAATTTTCTTCACATAAATTGGGAATAAGCAAGCCTTTGTTACATCCCAAATATTCTTCTTGGACAGAAAGTTCAAGGCTATATTGTACTTGGTTTGGTTTAGTTATTTCAGGATAGCATTGAATTAATTTTTCTGAAGACACTTCCTTTTAAGTTGGTATGCATAGAAATATGCTTTGACAGCCAAGGGGAAAAACTGCATATAAATCCACTTCCATGTAGGCAGAGTGCAAGGATAGATGAGAGAGTCTGCTTGTTGTGTAAACAGTATGATTCTTTGATGAGGATGGAAAGGCCCTTAAAAGATCATAGTATGTAGAGTTTATTAAGATCCAGCATGGAAAAAATATTTTGCACTGTGTATTCCCTAAGTATTAGGAATTTACTAATATCTCCCATCATGGGATATTCTGTGGAAGAACATAAAAGTATAACATGTTAAAACTGATATTTGGCATTGGAGGGAAAACTTTTTTTTTTTGCTAAGATTTATTTAGTATCCAATGCAAATGATTATATAAAAGAATTTAAAGCAATATTATATAATGCTTGGTCATAGCACACTATTTGCTAGCTTTACATTTAAAAATAGCTTTATTTTCTTGGAATATAGTTTCAGTAGTTAATTAATTGCTCATTATATATTTCTAATCTATTACAGTAAAAAATAAATAGGATCTTATGCCACCATAAAGACTAAGTAGTATATAGTAATGTATAAAAATTGTGTCTTAATTAGTTAAAGATACCACAAAGTTGTTTAATGTTGTATTATTTAAACTATCAGCATTGCATTCATTACATAAATGTTACCAAAATTGTCCAGGTACAATGTTATATGGTTATGTGGGATAACTTTTTAAAATGTCATTATATTAATACTTCTAGGAAAAAATATTGAAAAAAATATTTATTTTAAAGCAGCCCTGTAATTAAGCCCAGTTTTACAAAAGTTGCTTGTCACAAGGCTGAGGTGCAGTTCTCAGTCATTAGATCTTTTAGTACTTTCATCTCCTTTTTGTGGAGGGGTGGGTATATTCAGAAACTAGAAGCAGGTTACCGTATGCACTGTTTTGTCGTTGAAGAGTAGTAAACTTGATTGCATGAACAGTAGTAAATTGCTTATTTTCCCAGTTACTAGAGAAGTGGATAGAAAATATAGAACCGTTTCCATTGATTTTGCATGCAGTCCATTTTCCTATTGGAAGCAAGATCTCCGAAGTTTGATAAGTAAATCTAAGATTCGACAACTGATTATAACCCTATAAGTCCCCTTTCAAAACATATGTGGTTTTGCTGTTGTAATAATATTCTTTTTTTTAATAAAAATTTTATTTGGTTTTCACAAAACATAATACAAGTAAAATTTCTTTTTTTGAGAATAGCATGGTCCCGAGTTATCACTTTTCCATACAGACACAACTTCAATTTCATATTCATCTTTGTGTTCTATTCCATATCTTATTACTATTTTAACATTTTCTCAATAATATTTCCCTTCCGGTAGTTTTCTCAATCTTACTTTTAATTATCTCATTCCTTTCTAAATTCAATTATATATATCTTTTTCTAAGTTTCAATATCTTTCTAATCATTATATTTATACTTTTGTCTGTCCTGTTTCAATTTTATATTTTCTTGTCTAATTAAACAAAATTTTCCCCTGCAGTTACTGATTGGACGAGTATGACACCTTTACATTTTTTAATTTTTATCTCTTCAACTCTTATTTAAACTTCAATTTATGCCTTTACAATTATAACATTCAATATAACACATAGCTTCCAGTTGAATTCTGCTTGGTACATTCTTAAAATACGTACTAAGTTCTTAAAGAAAAAAAAATATATAACAATAATAAATAAAATACGTATTCTATTCCAATTCAGCTCTATCATTAATGTTAGTTATAATCTTTAACATCTTTAACATTTCTTTTCAGTAGGGTATCATACTTCTAGGAACACTTATAATATTTCCATAATTTTTTCATATTTCTCTTCACTTAATTTTTATAACATATTAATGATAATTAAAATGTTCCCCTCCTTTCCTCATTCCATTCTCTCATTCTTTTTATTTCATTTATTTATTAAACATTTCATTCCATTACAATGAGTATTTTATCTACATTTTAATCACACTTGTTTCATATTTTCAAAGTTCATTTCTATTTCTAATATAACAATACTATCTTATGTACCCTTGCAGAATCCCCCTTTCAATTAAATTTTTACCCATTATCTCTGTGTCTTCTAAATAGGCTTATACCTTTAATCTTTGTACGTTTTCCCTGTTTCTCTATGTCCTGTTTCTATCCTTTATAATTTCTTTTCCTTTCCCTCTTCCCCCTCTTCTTCTCCCTTCCCTTTTTGACCCCTTCTCTCTCTAATTCTGATTCTCTCTTCTGTAATCCTCTCTTCTGTTTCTTCCTAATATTGTAATTACTTTTCAAACTATTCTTTTTGGGGGGTTGTTTTTTCAAATCTTAAATTTTTCACTCTCTTTCCCCGCTTTCCTTTCTTTTCCCTGCATAGAAATACTTGGTCATTGAAGATGGCTTCTTCTTTGTCCCGCCCTTCTTGTTCTACAGGCATTTCTTGTTGTTTCTCATAGTTCAGGATCTCCATTTCCAAAAATTGAAATATGAAGCCTCCTTCTTGTGCATCGTTCTGTTTTTTAAGTTCCATTCTTAGTTCTTCCAATTTATTGTTGCTTTTTCAGTTCGACCCAGTCAACCATTTTAAAAACCTTTAAACAACCACCTGATTAATTTTAGTCCTTTAGATCCAATAGCCAAAAATCCAAAAATCACCAAGTAATCCAAATAATCCAAAACTGTTTCTTCTTGCTTCTTTTTTCCACTTTCTCTTCCTAGGGTTCTATTATTTTGTTACAAAGTTTCAGTTAAAATTTATCTTTTAGGAATCTTGTTAAAATTTCACTGTTAATTCCTTTCACTTCCAGGTGGTCTCCTCCATTTTTCCAGATCCCACCCTTTTATTTTTTTTCCTTCTTTTAAAAGTTTTTGAGAATCCAGAAATCTTTATTATTCCCTTGACATTTGATTTTCAGCTTAAATATCTGTTAATGTCAAAGTGGATTTTTGCCGATTTCTTACTTAAATCTCTTAGTTGTCAATATAGGAAAGAAAAGAAAAAAAAACAAATCCTTTCCCTTCCCTGTCTCATTCACCGCTTTAAAGTCTTCTTTGGGAGCAGTGTTATTCTTTATAATTTAAATTCCAGGGTACCTTATATTGTTGCTTTTTCAGTTCGACCCAGTCAGCCAAAACTTTATCTTCTTATCTTCCTCCTGCACATTTTTTTCCAGTCAAGTTCTTCTTTGAGGTGGCCATTTCGGACCACCACTGCAACCGCCTTTGGGAAAGGGAGTAATGGCCAGCTGGGGAGGAGAGATGCAACTCTTCTCGACCCTGCTGGCAGCCTGCCCCCTCTTCACCACCTCTATGGGGTGGCTTAGCCCTGAAACCAGCTGGCTCGGGGCACTCCAGCAGCCAGCACAGATCAAAACCGCGCACAATCGCAGATTTCGGTCTGTCGCCGAAGAAGCTCAAACTGGAACTGCTGTTGTAATAATGTTCTGTATGTGTATATAATGAGCCTACTATGTGAATGAGCTAACTAGCATTATAATTCCTTTTCATGTACCTTTAAGGCAGCCTTACAAAGGTCTACTGAAATAAATTCTCCTTCAATATATTTTAGTAACGCTCTGCAATGTAACACGCATCTATTGCTTTCCGTAAATGTGTAATGGGGTAGTCCTTCACACACAACTGTAATAGAACCTGCCCATTATGATTGTATGTTGTGATAGTTATAAAACAGGCCGATCACGTGTTCGACACAACTTTATAACTTTTTTCACAGGGGTCATTAGTGCAGTCAGTCATAAGTGTGGACACTAATGTCGTTAAGCAAACACCACAATCATAAATACAATTCCCTGCTGGTTTTCAACAAAACTCATCAAATGCGGTCATATGCCTGCAGGATGCTGCAGATGGCCATAAATGTGACCACATTGCCGAGCGCCTGAAGTGCGGTCATGTAACCATGGTGTGTGTGTGGGGGAACTGGCTATCAGAACTTCAGATCTGGGTCGTAAGTCCCCTTTTTCGAATAGGTTGTAAGTCA